CCCCAAAACCCCAAAACCCCAACATGATGAAATGCTTTTTAATATTTAGTAATGAAATCAAAATTATATTTCAGAATTTCTGGACAAATTATCCTCATCATCTGATAAAATTTCTTTATTTTATCCACGGTACAGATTCATATTGTTGATTGATCCATTCCTATTGTCTTCTTCTATCTCAGATAGTCTGTAAATATTTCCTTCTGCCTTTTCAGCAATATTATTGAATTTATTGATTTAGCATATTTCCCTTATTTCTTCTTTTATCATTCTCAATAGGCAAATCATAGCTATAAAAGTGCTGAATATTTCGATACCTTTGAGAATAAAGTAACTCTAGCCCTCTTTGTAATCCTCAACATAGAGAAAGATAAGATTATCAAATATAACTGATGCAATAGTAAACTGAAATCCCATTGTGTAGCATAGTAAGATACCACTCATTTTTATATTCTTCTTCAACATTTCAGATTTTGCTATATCGATTGGGCCAAGGATACATATTGCATAGTACATTGTGAATATCAGTTGAGACTAAATTATAAATAGAGAGCGAGTCAGCTCAGTGGGCTCCTCCTTTAAAGTCCTTTAAAGCACTGCAAATAATTCCAAGACTAAAATTGCCCCAAATACTCCAAAATAGATTGTTTATCTGTAATAATAAAAAACACTTTATTTTACCTTCTACCGTAATTATACTTCATAATAAAAATCCCTAGTATAATTTAGTATAATTCAGACGAAACCAGGAAACAGCTCTATATATTCTTTAAAATAAAGTTAAATACACTAAGATTTGAATTCCCTTCTCTGTCTTAAATAATAACTGTCACCTTGTTGATTATTCTAAATTTGAAAAATACAAAGCATGCACATATAATCATTCTTATTGACCCTTTAATCTCAAAAACTTTGAGGAAGCATGGACTTTTCCATCTATTCAAAATCTTTTTCATTTGCTGTCTTCTATTAGATGAATCTTTTGTTCCCTAGTTTGTCAGCAACTAGGTTAACCTTTATTCGTTTTTAATACTTTTATTATTCTAAGATTCAAAGAAATCTTGGACGCTAATCTCATCTCTCACTTCTTCACAATACTTAGATGTAAGGTAAATAGCTTGCTCATTAATGATATATCCAGCATCTATTGGATCGAAAAAGTACAAGAGATGAAAGAGGATACCAATAATAATCAAAATAAGACCAGAAACTATCTATACCTCATCAAGCCTATCAGATAGTAGATTTCCTAATCTTATCGCTAAGTACTCGCTAGTAAACCAAAGTCCCTATATCATTAAAACTTACTGATAAAAATTACGATAAGAAATGGCAAGTGCTGTCTTTTAAACCATTTTACCAATCCTGTAATGAAGATAACCAAAAATCCATATCTGAATGCCACAATTATGTGAAGGAGTTAGATCTCCATAAAATAGTAAGACAAGGGCTATTCATCACCATCACCACCATACATTACAAAAACACCTGACTGTATATTAATTATATTAGATTTTAATTACTCCTATTTTAGCGATGCCGAATATATATATCAAGATTCTGATAAAAATATCAACTCTTCTTATATATTCAAGCACTCCTCCCAGTGAAAAATACATAAAAGCAGTCACTAATAGTATAATTTGAACATCTGGAAAAGTAAGTAAATTCGATTCATCTTTATCTATTTCCTCCTATGATTTTGGCTTTGCTCTCTCTAAGAATTCAAAAGTAACATTAAGAAATCCGAATTTAAATCCCAAAAGAATAAGGAAATTTGCAATGTAGCTCAAAATAAATATTCACATTTGATGCCGTTTTATTAGCACACCTTGCTCAGATGAAATCATACTCTTGACTGTCTCTACGAAAGAGTTTAGCTAATTCTAAGGAGTCAGACTATTCTAGCTGACGTGATCTCTTTGATGATCACTACTGGGAACTCTTTAACTCGTCTACAATGTTTTGTGATTGTCAACCATTAATTCTTTGAAATCAATATGAGATGTATTAGTATCTAAATTTATGTCAATTTCCACATTAGCACTAATGCCTTTCCTCTGATTCTTTAGCTGCATTTTCTGACCTCTTTATTGATTTTTCAATCAATCACTTAGATGAAGTTTAAAACTCTGTTAGCTTGATTTTTCTTGGTGCTGATAATATTGAAAGTTATTTGAGTTTTAATCTTTGGAGCTTTCAAAATTGGAGGAAGTTGATTGCTTCACTATAGATCTAAAATTTTATGAGGAATCTGAATTCATTATAATATTTTATAATATTTAAAGATATTATTAGATTATTTTAATTTTACAATAAAATATAATATTTAGACTTGAGGGGTTTTGGGGTTTTGGGG